CTTTGAGTCAGTGAACGCATCTTTGCTGCTTTCAGGTGTGTGCTCCGGAGAGGCTTCCGCAGGCCCGGACTCACCGGACAGAGATGGCAGGCTGTCCGACGACGAGAACCAGAAGAAGAAACACCGCAGAAACCGGACCACCTTCACCACCTTCCAGCTCCATGAGCTGGAGCGGGCCTTTGAGAAGTCCCACTACCCGGACGTCTACAGCAGAGAGGAGCTGGCTCTGAAGGTCAACCTGCCGGAGGTCCGAGTGCAGGTAGGACTGAGCTCCACAATAAACACTATATCAGAAACAGGAACAACTATTCACTAATATTACTTTGCTTATATGTCAAGTATTTATTTTTCCAGTTCTAAAAATATAATGTAGAAACCCCAAATGTTCCTAGAGAAGATCCACATGACTTTCTTCATTTTTTCTAAAAAAATAAAGAATAAAAAATGCAAGTTTTAATTAATAAAATTAACAAAATGAGCAGCCAAATAAAATTCAATAAATCTAAGCATTATATTTTAAGCAACTTTTTAGCAGAAATGTAAAAGGATTTACATTCTGAGTATTTAGATAGCTCTAAAAAAAAAACAAGAAAATAAATAATTAATTAATTAATTAATAGGAAACTGCATTTTTTTTTCTCCATTGTTTGCAATGAGTTGTTTGGTTTTAGAATAACAACAGCTGGAATAATTGCTTTGTTATTAATAATATGTCTAATAAATTTTCCACTTGAAAATATTAATAAATATAATTTATTTGAAAGGAATCAAAAGTTATATTTTTTTAAGTAACTTGTAATATAGTAATACAGTTTAGAATCTTTTAATTGCAATATTTTAATATTTTCATGTCTTACATAAAAAGATTGTAAAATAAATGTTTCACATATGTCATTTTTGGATAATGTTATATTGTTGTTAATCTCTAATTTTTTCTAAAAAATCTCTCAAGGTTTGGTTCCAAAACCGGCGAGCCAAGTGGCGTCGCCAGGAGAAGCTGGAGGTGAGCGCCATCAAGCTGCAGGACACTCCTTCCCCGTCTCTCCTGTCTTTTGGCCGATCTACCAGCACCCTGGGCTCCACGCTGCCGCTGGAGCCCTGGCTCTCCTCTCCTATCACATCGTCCGCCTCCTTGCAGTCACTGCCAGGCTTCATCAGCGGTTCGCAGAGCCTCCAGGGTGCTTACACTCCTTCTCCTCCACCATCCATACCTTCTTCCTTGCCAGCATCTATTTTCACCTCGCCGGCCCTGGGACACAGCTCTCACCTGCCTCACATCAGCTCTATGTGCCCCACGCCACCCACATACCAGTGCTCAGTCAACCCAAAGAACTCCAGTATAGCCTCACTACGGATGAAAGCCAAGGAGCACATTCAGTCTATTGGGAAGACCTGGTGATTCTATCTGAGGGCCTGAAATCGACATGAACATCCAGACGACAGTGTTTGAAAATACTTTATTCTTCTGTTGATTGGATTCTATAATTTTGGACACTTTTACAACCCAAGAAAAATAAAACCACAAAATCCTCATAACTGGAGCATAAATTCCTGGACAATTGTAGAAAAAAAACAAGTAAAAAGAACAAAATATAAGTATAAAATATGTTTAAATATGCTTTCCTTATCATTTATGATTTTTGATCATTGTTTCAACTGTGAAGTTTTGCTTAATTTCTCCCTATCTTGATTTTGCAAATAGTTGTTTTTTTTTATCAGTACAAACTTCTCCAGTACAAACTGTCATCATTTGATTCTCTTCATTTGTTTTTTCTAATCATTCAGTCTTTTTGATAAGTAAATGTAATATATTTTTCCTGTATAATAAACTGAAAAAATAAGCATATTGTTTCAAAGACATTATAATTTTAAGAGCTTTTAGGCAATTAAATCTCACATAATTTGAAAATGTGGGGGGAAAAAAGCTTTAAAAAATGATTACTATAGACTTTAAAACCTAAAAGAATAAAATAGATAATGACTAAATTTTCAAACATAAAAATGTTGCATTATATTGGCAACAAAAATGTATAAAGCGCATGTTTTTTTTACACGAGAAATTGGAAATATTGATTGTAGTGCCCTCTAGCGGTAAATAGCTAAATAGCTTTTATTTTAAAAGTGCAGCCCCCTAAAAGTAAGATAAATCATAAGTTATTTTAAGCTTCCTTGAGTTTATTTCTGTTATTTTATAGTAGACAAATATCTGTCATTTTTTCTAATATGTCCGAATCTTAATAAACTGTGGTATATCCCAAAGTGGCCTAAAACTATTAACTATAAACTCTTTTAGAGATTTAGTCCCCTCAGCCTGCTTCTTTCCTCCTCATTAACTCTCATAAACTTTATCCCTCTCTCTACTGGGATCAGACTCCTAATAGGGGTGAAAGAGGCTCGCCCCTCAATTGTTCACCATTCATCCGTGACCAGTGGCTAAAGAGAGGGAGGAAGAAGAAATGTTAGCAGGGCTTTAAAAGGACGTTGCCAAACTTTTGCAATTAGTGTTAACCGGTATCTGCTTGAATCCAGTGGGAGCTAAAAATAATACTGATTGTCATCTATTCTTCCCAAACTACGACGGAGTATTAGGGCCACACATGAAGAGAAAAAATATTTTTGCCATGACGAGATTAAACTCGACATGTCGACTTTAAACTCGCCCTGTCGACTTTAAACTCGCCATTTCGAGAATAAAGTTGAAATGACTGACATGTTCTCAAATTCAGAACTGCGAGCCTGGGTAAGCATAGGGAAAGACGTTACGTTATTATTGGTAGGCCACCGCTTCCTGTGATGATTATACAGTTGCAGCACGTCAAAGACTACCTTCACTCATAAAAAGCAGACTGCAGCTGTGGAGCGCGGTTGCTCTTTTCTCCAAACTTTGGAATGTCGAGATTGAAGTCGCCACGATATATCAACTTTATTCTCGAAATGGCGAGTTTAAAGTCGACAGGGCGAGTTTAAAGTCGACACGTAGAGATTAAACTCAACATGACATTTCAACTTTATTCTCGAAATGTTGAGTTTAATGTCGACATGTCGACTTTAAAGTTGACATGTCGAGTTTAATCTCGTCATGGCAAAAATATTTTTTCTCTTCATGTGTGGCCCTAATACTCCGTCGTACCAAACAGACAAACACTGGAGTGTCTGTTTTTTTTTATTGTTTTTGTGTGTGTGTGTGTGTGTGTGTGTGTGTGTGTGTGTGTGTGTGTGTGTGTGTGTGTGTGTGTGTGTGTGTGTGTGTGTGTGTGTGTGTGTGTGTGTGTGTGTGTTTTAATACCGAGTCATTACTTAACCATACAACACTAATTGTGTTTTCAATTAGGAATATGGTTATTTTCGAGTTTTCTGAAACTAGAAAGTTGCTAAGACATGGAAGATATTCTTAAAAGTGAACTTTTGTGCCACCTAACGGTAAAACAGGGATATTGTAACTTACAAAGCAGGGCAATGGCCTTTTTTTTTTATTATTTTTTTTTTTTTATTGAAAATAATGAATATAAATGACAATCTCAACAATATGTAAATAATGAACATTACAAGAAACAAATAAGATCACAACTCCTATTAATAATTTATGGGGGAAAAAAATAACATCAATTATTAAGAAGAGGGGACTAACTGAAATTCTTCCAATAATTCAGACAATGTATTTGCTTTAAGGTTCTGCATCTTTTTCAGGCATCGGTTAAAGGAGGAAAGTTCGTTTTTTAAAGGAGAGAAGGAGAGGGAGCATTTTGCATAACAACATTTATGGATATAATATTTGGTTATAATCATCAAAGTATTGACTAAGAATTCCACATTTTTTTCATTAATATATAAACCAAACTGGATTATTTGTAAGGAATTAAAGTCCACATTTATAGATCTAGAAGATAGAAAGATCTGAAGTTGATCCCATAGGTTTCTTACTTCTCTACATACCTAAAACAAATGATTAGTAGTTTCCAATTTAGTTGTGCAGACACCACAATTCCCAATATTGAATTTAAATCTCTCTCTTAAGTATTAATTTGAAGGATATATGTCATTTATTATTTTGAATTGTAATTCTTTATATTTAGGAGGAATTGGGAATTTCAAATAATTTGTCCTAATTTTGGTTATCGTAGATTTGTTAAAATGTTGTAAGAGAAATGTAAGTTTAGTTCGACCAGGGTACATATTATGTATAGAATATTGATTCAAAAAGAAGGGCAATGACCTACAAGCTTTATAATGCACAGGGGCGGAGCAAGATGGGGGGCCAGGGGTGGCCCATCTGGCTACCATTTTCTTCCCTCTAATACAGATGGTGGCAGCAGTAATACTCTCAGGTGGAATATTCAAAACATTTAAATCTTTCATATATTAACAATTACTTGACAACAAAAACTCTGTGGTTTATTATGCACATCAATATACTAACATTAAAGATGATAAGTACAGAATTAATTCTCTTTTCAGAACTAGATTTTGTGTTATAATGGGGTAAAGAGAAAATGCAAGTCATCTAGGAGCCTTCAGTTAAATCATACATAAATATTTTAATACAAATGTATTAAATAATCAATTTATTACTTAATTGACTTTATTGATCTCACAGTGATATTTACTTTATGAAGATTTTAGTGCTTGTAAATATCAATTTTATGCAGATTGATTATTAATAAAAGTAGGTAAGTAATGACAATGGAAAAGATGTTCACCCCAGAACTCAAACCTGAAAGAATTTTATCCACTATACCTCTTATCTAAGAAGTGTGGATGTTTAAATATATGCATCTATTTGTTAGCAAAGGTTGTAGGAAAGTATAGTTTGTCTTTATTTAGAAAATATGGATGTTTTGCTCTTTTTTTTACCCTTTTTGTTTATGGTTGAAAGGAAATGTAATATCGGAATGTTACCATCATAAAATTATCTTTTTATAAGAGAGAACTGTTCATTCAGTTCATTCTTGAAGCAAAAGATAGCGGCTTGCTGTGTGCAAAGCATGATCCGACATCCACAATGCAAGTATAATTTTTAATTTATTTCAGATTCTCACTTTCTGTGACACGTTCTTGTCGGTCAGTAAGTAGTAGAAACCTTTATTTTGCGGGAGTAAAAATAGTAAATAACTGAAAACTGAAATGTTTGTGTCTAGCACAGTTTATACATGGTCATTTTGTTATTACAGAGAAAGTAGACGTCAGAAGCAGCGTTTCCAACCAAGTCTGTCTTTTCTTCAGGAGGATTCATTGTCTTGGAGTTTCAAAGCCAGGAGAAATAGGTGTAACATCTAGAGGGAACAGCAATAACACAGAGATCTGTAAGAATATTGAAGGTCGGAGATTACTAATGGTGTTTGACTCTGCAAGCAGACCTCTTGGAGATATTTTCCTTTATATTCTCCTCTCTTGTTGTTATGAAGAAGCTGTAGTATTGTTAGCTGTTTTTTTGGTGACAGAGCCTTCACAGTTTGGTCCTGGTCAACGATTCTGTCCGATTGTGAAAGTGTGATATAGTCAAGATTTACCTGCTGCTTTTCAGGCAAGCTCTTCTTTCCCATTAAATGACCTGTGGGTTAAGCATTTGAAAATCATTCTTCTGCCAATTAAAATTACTTGAACATTGTAAAAATAAGAAATAAACCATGAGAACCACCTGCAAACACATGCTTTAACCTAGGTGTTATTGTCTTTATTAACTGATTACTGATTAAAAAAACAAACATATTTTCAATCCAAATATATTATGTTACTTAAAAAGGATAAATGCAATTTGAAATATTAGGCTACATAAGTTTAGATATTTTGCCCATTATGATTCATTTTGCGCAATACAATAAAACTGGTTTAAATATTTCTGATAAATGTAAAGTTTTCCTTACCTACAGCCCAGTGATTGCCCCTCGGATACATTTTCCCAACTAATGCAGGTTTTTCAGAGCAGCGCAGAAAACAAGGCGCTGCTGCCAGGATGATAAAAACGCTCCAAAGCGCTCTGTAAGACCATGGATAACAAAGGCGCACCGCACACATGATAGGCGGGAGGTTAACTGCAAACCAAGCGACGTTTATCAGCCCTTACTTTGCACTGACTTTATCCAGACTAACTTTAAATTACCTACACCATCGTTGAGTTTTCTGGAGGTTGGATCGATGCAAAGCGGAGGGGAAAAAAAGACGTCCGATTTGCAGAATTTCTTCTCCCAATGGCTTAAATAGGAATGAGTGATAAAGAAAGTTAGGCGCTCCTCCTGAAGCAGCTGTACGTCAGCGCGTCTAAATGCTGCGGAGGAAGGCAGATACAGCTGGGAGATCATTTATAGTTGCCGATAACGCAGATTATTGCTTATATATTTTAGTTCAGGTGTGAACGTCACCGCAATCAGCACGAGAGCAGAAGCTCACCCCCAAACACCAGACGTCATTTGTTGGTTTTTAGGCTAAATCTGTCCGTCCGTCATAATCTTGATTTAGGCCAAAAATAGTTGTTGAAAAGTGAGATGTTTTTGTTCGGTCTGATTTTTTTCCCACTTTAAGTCCAATAATAGAAGTTAAGAAAAAACGTTGCAAATGTGAAACCCGTTTTTAACGTATTTTCGACTATCTGAATATTTGGCTTCTTTCTATGGAAGAGGATTAGGGCAACTGAAAAAATAAAAAAAAAGTTAACTGATATTTTATTTTATTTCAGTTGACATGTGGGAAAAAAGTCAGAATTCTGAGATTAAAGTCAGACTTCTGAGAAAAAAATTCAGAATTATGGGGGAAAAAAGCCAAAATTCTGAGATTAAAGTCAGAATCATGAGAAAAAAGTCAGAATTCTGAGATTAAAGTCAGAATTCTGAGAAAAAAGTCAGAATTCTGAGATTAAAGTCAGAATATGAGAAAAAAGTCAGAATTCTGAGATTAAAGTCAGAATTCTGAGATTAAAGTCAGAATTCTGAGAAAAAAGTCAGAATTCTGAGATTAAAGTCAGAATATGAGAAAAAAGTCAGAATTCTGAGATTAAAGTCAGAATTCTGAGAAAAAAGTCAGAATTCTGAGATTAAAGTCAGACTTCTGAGAAAAAAGCCAGAATTCTGAGAAAAGTCAGAATTCCGAGAAAAAAAAAGTCAGAATTCTGAGATTAAAGCCAGAATTCTGAGATTAAAGTCAGAATTCCGAAAAAAAAAAAAAGTCAGAATTCTAAGAAAAAAGTCAGACTTCTGAGATTAAAGTCAGAATTCTAAGAAAAAAAGGCAGAATTCTGAGAAAAAAGTCAGAATTCTGAGATTAAAGTCAGAATTTTGAGAAAAAAGTCAGAATTCTGAGATTAACATCAGAATTCTAAGAAAAAAAGGCAGAATTCTGAGAAAAAAGTCAGAATTCTGAGATTAAAGGCAGAATCCTGAGAAAAAAGCCAGAATTCTGAGATTAAAGTCAGAATTCTGAGAAAAAAGTCAGAATTCTGAGATTAAAGTCAGAATTCTGAGATTAAAGTCAGAATTCTAAGAAAAAAGTCAGAATTCTGAGATTAAAGTCAGAATATGAGAAAAAAGTCAGAATCCTGAGATTAAAGTCAGAATTCTGAGAAAAAAGTCAGATTTCTGAGATTAAAGTCAGACTTCTGAGAAAAAAGCCAGAATTCTGAGAAAAGTCAGAATTCCGAGAAAAAAAAAGTCAGAATTCTGAGATTAAAGCCAGAATTCTGAGATTAAAGTCAGAATTCCGAAAAAAAAAGTCAGAATTCTAAGAAAAAAGTCAGACTTCTGAGATTAAAGTCAGAATTCTAAGAAAAAAAGGCAGAATTCTGAGAAAAAAGTCAGAATTCTGAGATTAAAGTCAGAATTCTAAGAAAAAAGTCAGACTTCTGAGATTAAAGTCAGAATTCTGAGAAAAAAAGGCAGAATTCTGAGAAAAAAGTCAGAATTCTGAGATTAAAGTCAGAATTCTAGGAAAAAAGTCAGAATTCTGAGATTAACGTCAGAATACTAAGAAAAAAGACCCATAGATGAGGTGGGAGATGGACATTTTTCTCCTGGTCAGCTGGCATGTTGGGTTGCTCACACCCTGGATTCGTGAGTGTTGACCCAGTAATACAGTCTCCACTTCTGACACCGTTCCCAAGTTTCTGGGGTCCATATTGTCACCCCATGACTCCCTGATGGCCTAGTTGTACACTGAAAACTGTGTACCTTGCTTGCCAAAGGTGTTTTAGTGTCTGTGAAACCCTTGCTGGATCAAATGGGGTTTTATTCAATTTATATCCTGATTCCTAAAAAAGAACTGAGATCTTGATCTGACTCTGGACCTTAGAGAACGGACCACCCCTTCGAGGGTTATGCCTTTCTAAATGTTGGCCTCCAGACTGGTCTTCTTGGCAATCTGAGAATCTGAAGGATACATATTTTTCATATCCTTATTGCTTTATATCGCTGGAAGTTTCTCTCTGGGTGTTTAACCAGTGTGAGAGGGCAGTCCTCTTCCCAAGCTGATCCTGCCTTATGTGGACAACGGACAAAATTATGCAGCAAACTGAAACCAGAAGGTCCGGGACATATTTAGTTAGTGCTGGCCCATATATGGGATCTGGGCTCAAGTGTGAACTTGGGGTAGAATTGCTTAAACCCTTCTCAGGTAATGGTCTTCCTAGGCATTTGCCTGTACTTTGTCCCCATGACTGCTTACAGTCCATGCAAGTGGTAACCAATGTTCTAACCATCCTTTAAGGCTTCTGTCATGACAAAGTGTTTTAGGCACATTCATCCCACGTAGAACCCCCTTAACTGCTTTACTTGTGGCCCCTGCATATGTGGCTGGACAGTCTTAGTTAAGACCCTGCCTGTCATGCACACAGGCACAGATGACATTGTGTTTTGCCTCTGTGCCGCCTGTCTCTGTCCCAGTGGCAGGATGGGTCCTACATTATGCACGGTGTTCTGATCAGGATCAGTTCTGTGTTGGAGGGAGACTGGCTTGGCAGATGCTTATTTGAAAGATCAGGATGCAACCTAGCAGAGCCATACTGCAAGGGGTAATGGCCCCACATTCGCCCACATAATCAATCTATATGCTTTAGATCTTCTGGCTATGTCCCTGGCTCTTTGTGTTGCGGAGGAGCCCTGTGTTGATCAGTCTGACAACACCACAGTGGTCTACCACATAAACCTTCAAGGGGGTACAGGTCTCTGAGACTGCTATTCCTGACAAAACAAATGGGTGGTATCATGGCTTTCCAGACTTAGTGCAACCTCCATCTTAGGTCTGCAGAATGCACCTGCATGCTTTCTGTCTTGCTGGTTGCCTCTTCCACATTAATGATGGCTTCACCCAGAGATAATGGGTCACGTTTGGTTGGTCTTCAATGTGGCTAAGGGTGGATCTCTTTGCAAGGATGCATCTTACTGTCCCCCTTGGTTCTCACTGTCAGACTGGGCTTTATTGTTGGGCTGTTTTTCAGTAATGCCAGACATTTGAGTTCCTTCCATGCAACCTGTAGCCCCTACATTGCATCTATTTTCCTTAAAGCCTTTTGGTCTTCCCAATTTGAGTCCATACAGGGTGGATCTGAAGCTCTTTCTGAAGACTGGCTTTCTGCTAGCTTATGTTCTTGGCAACAGCAGCATGCTCTGTCTATTTCTGTGGAATGTTGTTGATAGAATCTATATGGTTACTCTGGGGACTAATGCTTGCAGCATCTTGCCACTCCTGCTTTAATTCTAGGACCCTCTCTGAACATCTGTGTCTAGTCGGAGGACTTGAAGAGTATGTCACATGATAGTATGTCCACTCTAAGATCAAAGACAAAAACCTTTGTCTGTTATACTGGTCCCCAGAAAGGCTGTGCCCTTTCCAAGCAGAGGATGGCATGTTTGAATATGGGTGTTACCTTATTTTAGGGTCAGCCTCTACCTGGAGGGGAATGCCACTACACCATAGGACCCTATCTAACTCATTGGCTGGGATTACTGGAGTGGTTTTGGAGGCCATTGGTGAGGCAGCCTCCAGCACCAAGATGCCATTGCAAAATTCTATGAGGTGAACATGGCCACACCCTATCCCCTACAGGGGCTTCCAGCAGCAGCGTTCTATGTCTCACTGCAGTAGGTGCTGTTGTTGCTTTCCGGTTGTCTTTTCTTTTTTGGATCCTCAAGGGCCTTGTTGTTATATCTTCTCTAATATTTGAAGCACCATCTCTGGTGTTCAGTATAAAATAAATAGAGCAAAATTTATAATTCTAACTAGTGCTGGAGTTATCTTTTCTTTTAGTAATTGATTGACTGATTGATTTTTCAATTAAATTAATAATCTAAAAATGAATACATTTAGTAAATTAGTAGCTTTGAATTAAATAAAACAAACTAATTTTGCTTTTTTTTATGAATTGCACACAGAAAAATTTTAAGATATATACAATATACATACATATAGACTCACTGGCCACTTTATTAAGTACATCTTGCTAACACCGGGTTGGACCCTCTTTTGCCGTCAGAACTTCGAGGCATACTGTAGATTCGATAAGGTTTAAGAAATCAATCAGTGTGACATGATTTGCACTATATGACATGGTTCAGTTTCCTGATGGAATTAGTCATCAGAAATGGCTACACTGTGGTCATAAAGGGATAAACATGGGATAAAGCAATAATGCGCAGGTATTCTGTGGTGTTGACACAATGCAAATTTGGTACTAAGTGTGCCAAGGAATTATATCCCATATACCATCATACCACCACCAGCCTGAACTGTTTTTACATGTTGCTGAAGCTTATTACACAGACTGAGTGATCATGCACATTAATATGTAGAATAATGTTGATCACAACAAATTACTTTGTCGTCATCATTTTTTTTAATAATTTTTCAACCTGCACAGCAGGAATAATGATCATGATCAATGCTTGAAGCACCACCTCTGGTGGTCATCTGGATTTACTGAAGCATAGTAACATTTTTAAACAATTATTTGAAAAATACATACTAGCTGTTTACAAAATGTGTGCACCCATATTAGTAAAAAACAAAACAAAAGAAAATTTAAAACCATTTTAATTTAAGCCTTTGTACTTTAGATAGTTTCTTTAACTGAAACTTTGGACTCTTAAGGTTAAAATGAACTCACAATTTTATAGATTGTGAATCAGATTGACTTTACCTTAAATTAGAATTTTCTTTCATAGGTATAACTTGTTCTTTAGGAAGGTATACCTCAAAACTATCAGCATGATTGAAGTGTGTTATCAACCTCACGGGAGGTAATCTGCCAAGACAAAAAAACTAAAGTAAAAAAAATTAATTGTGAGATGTAGAAATAGCAA